TTTGCACTTCAGCATTCGATGTGTGGTTTAGGGTGTGTGTGTGTGTGTGGTTCCTGTTGGAGAAAGTTTTGAGGGAATTCCTCTTTAATATCTCCTCTCTCATGTTAAACTCAGCTCTATAATTTTCCATAAATATCCCGGTGGCAGTAGATCCGCTTTAGTGCCGCTCCAGTGAGTCACGCTAAAGACTTTCTGAGGACTGAAGGCGATTAGTTGCACCAGTTCGGCTCTTGTCGCATTATATGCATGTGTTAATTCAACCATCTCTTTTTTCACTCCTAATTTGATCAGGAGACAATTTTACTTGCAATTGAATTAAAAATACAATATAATCATTTATTTTTGAGACGATGGACTGCTCTCGCTGACTTAAACATGTCACGTTACAACTAAATCACTAAATTTGATCATACTACTGTTTGAAACTCATCACCGTTATATACTGCATAGTGTTTTGCATACTATTCTTTAAAAAAGAATAAAAATGCATACTGTCAAATTTTAAAGTTTTTTAATGAAATTGAATTTGCGTTTAGATATATATATTTATTTACAAAAAAATAATACAAATATTTGCAAGGCGTTTTTAATCTAATAATGAAATTTTGTCATATACTCTCAGAAAAAAGGTACGAAAGCTGTCACTGGGGCTGTACCTTTTCAAAAGGTACACTTTTGTCCATTTTAGGTACTAATATGTACATTTTTGGTGCTAATATGTACATTCTAGGTGCTAATATGTACATTTCCGGTGCTAATATGTACATTTCAGGTACTAATATGTACATTTTAAGTGTTGATATGTTCATTTTAGGTACTAATATGTACAGTTTAAGTGTTGATATGTTCATTTCAGGTACTAATATGTACATTTTAAGTGTTGATATGTACATTCTAGGTGCTAATATGTACATTTCGGGTGCTAATATGTACATTTCAGGTACTAATATGTACATTTTACGTGTTGATATGTACATTTTAGGTGCTAATATGCACATTTTAAGTGTTGATATGTACATTTGGTGCTAATATGTACCATTAAGGTACCAATATGCACCCTTAAGGTACAAAAGTGTACCTTTTGAAAAGGTACAGCCCCAGTGACAGCTTTTGTACCTTTTTTTCTGATTAATTAATTTTCTGCTAAATATCATCATATCCTGCGCATCCCACCCTGTTATGCCACATTTTATCATCATTCATTTATTATTTGCTTAAGCTCAATAAATCCTTCTCTGGAAGTAATGCTCAAAAAATGTCATGAAGTAAAAAATACAAATGTTCAGAAAATAAGTATGCAGGACACACACACACACACAGTCTCTCTCACACACTCAGACAAATCACCTTTCACAAATAACACAGAACGCCAAACAGGCCGACTGCTGGATTGTGCGTGTGTGTGCATGTGTGTCAGTGTGTTTATTGTGTTTTGCTTCACGTTACTCTGCAGACATGTGGAATTCACTCGTCGTCTCTCTCCACCAATCACAGCTCAGCATCTTTTAAACAGAGGAAAACTCCAGCACACACACACACACACACACGGCCTGTTTTCTTTCTCTGTCTTTGCCACTCTGTTTCTAATTGACCATCTCTCCTCCAGTTACTGTGTTTTCGGGCAGTAAATGGCCCCCTCTCACATCACATGACTGAGCACATGACATGTCACTTCCACTTTTTCTCTTTGGTCTGTGTTCGGAATAGCCATCCCTAGTACTACTATACTTTTTATATTATTTTTCCGGTATTCAATACTACTTTTGCCACAATGCAACGCACTCCGCGTGACCTACATCTATTTCCACTATGATTTGTAACATATTTGACACGAATTCTGAAATTTAGATTAAACACAATTATTCAGATCAGTTGGACGTGGCTGTGGTTACACGAGGTAAAAACGATGTAAATACTGTTCGTTTTCTCACACAAACCGCTCGTTTCGTGTCTTAGGCCATCAATGTGTACTTAAAATTACGAGTCATTAAATCATGTTTAATTTGGACTTCTCTGTGCATGCTCTTTGAGGTGGTGACCATAGACCTCCATTATATGACTGACAGACAAGAACGGTTTGACCTAAAAATATCAAAATTGAAACTACTGCGTAAACAAAGACACCTATATCTTGGATGCCCTTGAGGTAAAACATCCCAAAAATTAATTTCAAAGTCTATCCCTTTAACAAATTTGAGAACAAAGTATAATTTGCGCGGTTTTGACCGATATGATAAGCGATCGTTAGATTTAATCAGCGCGAGTTTTTTTTTTTTTTTCTTATTTGGTCAGATGAACAAAATTGGATATTACTTACATTAACTTTATAAGTTACTGTTCAAAATGAATTGATTTTTTTCCTTCAGGAACCCGACTGTTGCACTCTTCCCTGCAGCTCTGGCTCTTTCTGTCTGTTTTGACCTGGTTTTATTCTTGTCTTCTGTTTATTGTATGTTGTGTTCAGGTAAACCTGCACCTGATCCGCTTTAAAGCGCTTTATATTGGTGTGATCAGTGGCCTAGAGGCCGTTCTCTGATTGGAGATCCCACACAGGTGTTGTCTGTCATTTGAGCCCTGATTGGTGAAAGGAGCTGTCAATCAGCGGCTGGAATGTTGGCTTCTTTCCGAGAACAATAGCAGGAGGGATTGTGTTCGGAAAGCCTAAAGCCCTCCGAGGAATCCCGAGTGGATTGTACAGCATTCCTTTCATGAGCAGGAGAACAGGCCTTCTGTATTACCACTCTTTCAATTATTTTTTCATCAGTAGGAATGCATTTGAGTCTTTTTTTGGTATTTTACAAAATATTTAAAGGAGTGGTTCACTTTTAAAAAAAACTTTTGCTGATAATTTACTCACCCCCATGTCATCCAAGATGTCCATGTCTTTCTTTCTTCAGTCAAAAAGAAATTAAGGTTTTTGATGAAAACATTCCAGGATTTTCTCCATATAATGGACTTCAATGGGGTCCAAACGGTTCAAGGTCCAAATGAGAGTTTCAGTGTTGCTTCAAAGGGCTTTAAACGACACCAGACGATGAATAAGAGTTTTATCAAGCGAAATGATTGGCCATTTCAAAAATAAATTAAAAAGTTTAAGTTTTATAAGCACAAATGCTCAAATCACAAATGAATAAATCTTTTTTCGAGTCATGACTCGAAGGGTCATAGATAAGACCCTTATTCATCGTCTGGAATCGTTTAAAGCCCTTTTGAAGCTGCACTGAAATTGTCTTTTGGACCTTGAACCGTTTGGTTCCCATTGAAGTCCATTATACGGAGAAAAATCCTGGAATGTTTTCATCAAAAACCTTAATTTCTTTTCGACTGAAGAAAGATAGACATGGACATCTTGGATGACATGGGGGTGAGTAAATTATCAGCAAAAGTTTTTTTAAAAGTGAACTACTCCTTTGATCATGGTGAGTCGTGACCATACTTTTACTTTGCATTTCTTTTCAATATATAATTGATTGCTGTTAGTTTATTAAATATTATAATAAAAAGGCATGTGGTTACCAGGAAACTCCCATTGGGAAAGGGAATCTTAGTGAAAAGCTCTCGCCATGTGTTATAAATAGTATTTATTATTTGATGTGAATGTTATATATCACGACAATGTTGTATTTGAAAGAAAATTCAGTCTGTTGCAAAAAAAACCAAAACATTTTCATGTTAAAGTCAGCATGAAATGGAAGCTGCGAGCCTTTTCTTCCCTAGATTGACGGATATCCGAGAGAAACGGCTTCTCGAACAAAACAACAAAAAGGGGGCGGGACTTGATTTTGTCCATCAGAAACTGATTGAATTGTTGAATGGCTGTGGTTTGCTATTGGTCCATCTCATGTGATTGACAGGTTGCCCTCATGCCAGTAAACGCATCATCGCAGAAGTGTCCATGTAAAAAAAAATCCATAAAAATATTCATCCAAATATCAATATTCAATAAAAAAAGACTTTAAGCTCACATTTGTGACTAGCATCTCTGATTGAGATGAATTTTAGGAAATAAAATTCCTACATTTCTTCATCTTCCTCTCTGATGAATAACAAGCTTCCTGATGTCATAAGCCCCGCCCCCTGCGTTCTGTGGTGTTGTAACTGTAACTGTGTCTAAATGCAGTGACCGTGACAAATGGAGCTCATTAAGATTAATAGAGGATAAAGGAGCCTTGATTTGTGTGTGTGTGTGTGTGTGTGTGTGTGGTCCTGGTAATCCCTACATTATTGGGACAAAATGTACACACAAAGATCGCAATATGGCAATATCTGAAATCCTTGAGGGGAGATTTTTGGGTCACCATGAGGAAAAAAGCATATTTATCATACTAGTTTTTCGAATAAATGCAGAAAGGTGTGTGTGATGGGCAGGTTTAGGGGTCGGGTTAGTGTAAGGGGAGAAAATATACAGTTTAAATGGTATAAAAATCATTTTTGTCTCTGGAAAGTCCCCATGAAACGTGGAAACCCAGTGTGTGTGTGTGTGTGTGTGTTGAGCCTTTGGTGGTCTGATCCCTACAGGTCTGGACTGGTTGTGTATATTGAGGTAATGTTTAGTTCTTGGTGTGTCTGTGTTTCTATTATTCCTTTGATGAGCTGACATCACTCACTCGGCACGGAAGCGTTTGTGTAAATCGCTTCTTCCCGTTGTGAAGCTGGACTGTTGGGATGAAACACTTTCTTTGTTGAACCTACTTAAACAGAAAGTAAAAGCACTCATTTAACAATATTTTTATTATTATTTATTATTTTATTTTTATTATTATTATTTATGGTTTATGGTTATTATTATTATTATTTTTATATATATATTATTTATAGTTTTTTTTTTTCTCAAACTGAATCATGAGGGCAACCACTGCAGCACTCTAGCATTGACGGATTGCACAGACAAATCACACTCATGATTTATTTATTTTTTTCAGAATTTGAAAATGAGATGTGTGAGAAGATGATAGTTTACAGTGACTGATGATAACAGGTGTGTTTTCTTTCTATGGAAGGTTATCTGTCCCGTGTGCTGAGGAATTACACTGAACAGGCGTGTGACGGAGAATTCCTGACTGTCCGCTGCCCGCCCAGAACCTCCATCACCGTCCAATCGGCTTTCTACGGCAGAGAAGACCCCGCCCACTCACCTCAGTGCCCATCCACTTACAGCAGTGCTGGAACACGCTCGGTGAATGACTTCACTTCCTGTCATGTGTCTACATCTTTGCAGGTAAGACACATTATTTATAATATCATATTTTATAATTTATATATATTATTATTATTAGCTTTATTTTTTTTAATTTGTAATTTTAGTGTTACATTTATTTTTATTTGTTTAACTATTATTATAATGTATTAATATTGTTAATTAAATTTTTTCAATTTTATTGGCAATTTTAGAACTTCAACTTATTTTTTTCAGTTAGTTCCCAAGTTTCCAATTAAGTTTGTCAAGATTTTCATTTAATATTTATATTTTATTTTAGCTTTATTTGAGTTAACGAAAATGCTTTATATGTATAGTTTTAGTTATTTATTTTATAATAATTATTCCAGATGAATAAAAGCAAAACCTGTCCTGGCAAAAAAAAAAAAAAATATTCTAAGAACATTTTGTTAAAGGGATACTCCACTTTTTTTGGAAATAGGCTCATTTTATCACTCCCCCAGAGTTAAACAGTTGAGTTTTAACGTTTTTGAATCCATTCAGACGATTTTCTGATATTTAGAAAAATATCAGTAACCAGACAGTTTCTGGTCTCATTGACTTTCATAGTAGGAAAGAAAATATACTATGGAAGTCAATGAGACCAGAAACTGTCTGGTTACTGATATTCTTGTAAATATGAGAAAATCGTCTGAAAGGATTCAAAAACGGTAAAACTCAACTGTTTAACTCTGGGGGAGTGGTAAAATGAGCCTATTTTCAAAAAAAAAGTGGAGTATCCCTTTAAGACTTCCATTTAAAATGTTATTTTAAATGTTCAAAAAGTTGAGAATGTTCCCTGTTAGTTTGGGTCCTACATTTTTTTTCTTGTTGAATATTACTACATTTCACTCAGAAGTATGTCATATTAAAGAAGTAAAATAAAAAACTCCATATCTTCTTTTATTATTTTCCCAGTATTATATCATAATGAGGCTGTTTGTGTTTTTGTGCGTTTAAATGTGTTGCGACACACAACGTGGCAGTATCTGTTTTGAACTGCTGCATCTGTGACAGCACACGCACGCGTTATTTACGGCTGCACGCTTGGTAAAACCACACGCTATAAACACACACATGAACAGCACTGTGTGCAGGAGTAAAATTACACTGTGTGTGTTTTTATGCCCTGAGGGAAGGAATCCACTGCGGGGGAAATGAAAGGCGTGGAATGTTTTTACCTGAATGAAAACATGCCATTCAAAGAGCTGTCTGTCTGTCTGTCTGTCTGTGTCTGTGTGTCTGTCTGTCTGTCTGTCTGTCTGTCTGTCTGTCTGTCTGTCTGTCTGTCTCTGTCTGTGTCTGTCTCTCTGTGTGTGTGTGTGTGTGTGTGTGTGTGTGTGTGTGTGTGTGTGTCTGTCTGTTCTGTCTGTCTGTCTGTCTGTGTCTGTCTGTCTGTCTTCTGTGTCTGTCTCTCTGTGTGTGTGTGTGTGTGTGTGTCTGTCTGTCTGTCTGCCTGACTGTCTAACTTTCTGTCTGACTTTCTTTCTGCCTGTCTGTCTGTCTGACTTTTGTCTAACTTTCTGTCTGTCTGACTTTCTGTCTGTCTGTCTGTCTGTCTGTCTGTCTGTCTGTCTGCTGTCTGTCTGTCTGTCTGACTTTCTGTCTGTCTGTCTGTTTGTCTGACTCTGTCTGTCTGTCTGACTTTCTGTCTGTCTGACTTTCTGTCTGTCCGACTTTTTGTCTGTTTGCCGCTCTGTGTCTGTCTGACTTTCTCACTGTCTGACTTTCTGTCTGTCTGTCTGTCTGCCTCTGTGTCTTTCTGTCTGTCTGCCTGCCTCTCTGTTACTTTCTGTCTGTCTGTCTGTCTGTCTGTCTGTCTGTCTGACTTTGTGTCTGTCTGTCTGACTTTTTGTTTAACTTTCTGTCTGACTTTCTGTCTGTCTGACTTTTTGTCTGTCTGCTGCTCTGTCTGTCTGTCTGACTTTCTGTCTATTTGTCTGACTTTCTGTCTGACTGTCTTTCTGACTGTCTGTCTGCCTCTCTGTGTCTGTCTGACTTTTTGTCTAACTTTCTGTCTGTCTGTCTGCAGAAGATGTTGGATGAATGCGAGGACAGGCGGAGATGTCAGGTTCTTGTCAACAGTCGTTTGTTTGGGACGGACCCCTGCCCGACCATCAGCAAATACCTCAGTGTGCGGTACAAGTGCAGGCCGAGTGAGTTACACACACACACGCACGTTTTATTGGCTATCTAAATGGGGAAATTGTATAGCCTTCCATTTTTTTTATATGCAGCTAATTATAAATACTATAACCTAACCCTAAACCACACCCTAACCATAAGAGAAGACTTGTGTACAAATGATGATGTCCCCAAACGAGGGTTTAGGGAGTTTTTGTCAGGTTTAGCTAAATTCTGGGTATAAATTTGTCACCAAAATATGGTTAAGTAGGTAAATGTATACACACACACGTCCACTCAGCCAAATGGCTAGGTCTCTCCTGTATTGGCTGCTTTCAGCAGGTTTTGTGTTCTGTTAGTCGAGCAGAGAGAGATCTGTCCGCTTCTGTCCTTCCTCTCATGCAGGTCTGATAAATAAACCTCTGCACCTCAGTTACAGGTCACTGTGTGTGTTAAAGCTCTACGGATACAGACACACACTGAATAACACACTATTGTCTTCTGTAGAGCTGTATGAATTAGTTTCATAATTGATGAATCTTGAAACATCCACACTGAACTGAATTGACCTGAATCAACATTGAACTGACTTGAGCTGAATAATGACACTATTGCCAGCTCAATTTGAATTTGACCCAAGTACATTGTATATTTTTACTTTTATTAAAAAAATTTACAGTAGGTTTATTATATTTGTTACATGCTTTGTTGCATTTATGTTTATAAAAAAGTCAAAGTCAATGATGCAGAAAATTCAGCTTTGCATCACAGGAATAAATTACATTTTAAAATATATTCAAATAGAATTTGTAATATTAGTTCACAATTTTATTGTGTTTTTCGTCAAATAAATGAAGCCTTGGCGAGGAGAAGAGACTTATTTATAGGGGTCATGAATTAAGAAAAACATTTCGCTTTGATCTTTTGACATGTAAGACAATAGAAATTACAAAAAAAGTATCCTGTAAATTTCAGAACTCAAAACTTCCTCGTTAGTCCAAAAACAGCTTTTATTGAAACCAGGCTCAGAAAACGTCTCGTTTCGGGTTTTGTCACATTATGATGTCATAGCTTGACAAAAGACCGCCTCTGCAGAAGAAGGTCGACGCCTACTTCTACATCATTGCCTCTTTAGCCCCGCCCACCAACTCACCCGTGTCATGTAGTGGTAAATACGAGACAGGATTACTCCAGAAACAAAACCTTAGTTTTTGTGCATGACACCTCTAAAAGAAATCGTAATTATTCAAAACTTCCAAAAACACAGTAAAAACTGTCATGCTGTGAAATATTTTTACTGTTTTCTATTTAAGCTGTGCCGCGATTAATCGCATCCAAAATGAAAGTTTGTGTTTACATAATATATGTGCGTGTACCGACTTTTAATATAGTATTATATAGTAAAATGGTTTGTGAATGGCGTTTCATGATGACGTTTCATTATGTGTGTGTGTTCCAGATGAGTATAAGAGTAAAGTGGTGTGTGAAGGGGAGCGGTTGCGCTTGGGCTGTAAGACGGGGATGCAAATCGCGGTTTATTCCTCCATGTTTGGCCGCACGCAGAAGGGAACGCTGGAGTGTCCTCCACACCACCAGAGAGCGCCGTCTGTCGGTGAGCACTCAGACTCATTTCTCATATTTATATATATATATATATTAGGGCTGGGTATTGAGACAAATTTCACAATTCGATTCGATTTCGATTCACAAGCTTGCAATTCGATTCGATTTCGATTACGATTCGATTCGATTCAATATCGATTATTTTGGATATCAGTTACAATAAATGGCCATTTTTCTCAAGGGAATCAAATCTCTTAAATGCTGTAAACTATGGTCTATATATATATAGTCTAGTTGTAGCCTATAGGCTTCATTAGCCTAATATGAAGGTAATAATTAACCATTTTGTAGCTATACAAACACTTAAATTACACTTTTATTTATTTTTATAATAAGAAGATTATATGAAATATAAACATTTAAATGGTGGCTGTCATAAAAACTTGCCAGATTTATTCCAATATGCATTAAATATTGAAGAACACTAACAAGTGTGGACTAACGAGTTTATGTGGGTTTTCTGAGGTAAATATGACGATACATGACATTGATTACAAGCTGTTTAACTGACGTCTTTCCACGGTTGAAACGCTGATTGAGCGAATCAATGTGACATGATAGGGATTTCGATAAGTTGTACTCGATCTTTTAACACACTTTCAGACGCTCATTCATGTTTATTTTGCGCTGTGACCGGTATTATTAAGCCGGAAGAGAGATCAGCGCTGCTGCTTCTCCAGAGCGATCTCACGCCACAGCGCCAAAACGGCAAAACGCAATTTATGTTTTTGAATTTCTAAAGAAAATGGACGTAATTTGAAAATTGAGACTTTGTTTCATATCAATAGTAACAAAGGACAAAGATTATTGCGATTTGTTGGATGCGCGCAGCCGCGATACAATGTCTCATTCATACAAATGAAACAGGATGACTAATCGATTCTTGAGATTTAAGAATCGATATCGGTTCGTAAAAATGAGAATCGATTAATATCGAGAAATCGATATTTATTACCCAGCCCTAATATATATATATACTCATCATCTTACTGTAGAATTTAGATATTGTCTTTGTATCGATACGGGTAGTTCTTGGTCAAATATTCTGCAGAATAATCTGAGATTGAGAAACACCTTCAGGCTTTACAAACTCACACCACACTCTCTCTTATATGTTAACTACCTCTTATGCAATTTCCTAAATTAAATGTATTAAACACACACACACACTGATCCTACAACACCTGTGTAAATGCGAATGACATCACATCTCAGGTGTTTGATTTGACTTCTTCATTTCTCCTGTTTCTACATGTTTGTGTTTGTATCTGTGTGCGTGTGGAATATGATGCTGTCAGTCCGTCTCATTGTTACCGTTCCAGCATCAAAGGAGAAAACGGTATCATTGTGTGCCTGTTCTGGGGAATCGCTCCGCCAGGAACATGTTTGAATTCAAGGAAGCTTCTCGGATGTGTGGGAGGACGTACAGTTAGGACGTCACTCTCTTTTTGTCTTGAGATGAGTATCAGCTAATCTCATCTCCTCTTACACTCCTGGAGGGTGTGTGTGTCTGTGTGTTTGTTCAGATAAACAGTGTTATTGGGACAAAATGTCCCCACAAAAATGAAAAATCTGAAATCCTTGTCTATTTTTTGGTCCCCAACTGCTTATAAATCAGACTAAGTGATTTTTTTGGTGAAAATTGTGTGTGATGGGCAGGTTTAGGGGTCGGGTTAATGTAAAGAGAGAGAATATACAGTTTACAGTATAGAAACCATTGCGTCTATGGAAAGTCCCTGTGAAACATGAAAACCCAACGTGTGTGTGTGTGTGTACTTGTACAACAGGACCAGTTAGAGTTTTAGACCACCGGAGTGAGGACAAAGAGTGTAAATTGTGGACTGAAGGACTGAAAGTTACACGTGGATTCAGTTTCTGTATGCGCTCAACCAGAACTGCAGATCCAGAGGAACCGTTAGATCCGAGCGACATCATCAGTGTGAGACAGGTGACGTGTCTCAGCGGCCCAATAAATTGTGTCCGAAACTTTAACTTTGACAACACTGTCTGGATGTGCCCTTCATAAATCAGATCTCTATCAGCGAGCAGGTCTCTGTTTACTAACACCACTCGTGACCTTTGACCTCTGACATTTGTTGAAGCCATTAGTCCTGAGGTGACGACGTGTCTCCGGTCGTCAGATCTTCAGTGAGTGATGGCTGTGTCAAGTCTTTGTGCTTTGTGTTAATGGAGTAGTGTAAATGGGCCGTCGCTCTCTCTGTGTGTGTGTTCTGTGTCACTTCTGCTTCTATCATCCAGACAGGTATATGTATAAAAAAAAAATCAAATACAATATATATTATAATATAATATGTAATATTTTACATTTATTTATTGTATTATTATACTGAATTATTGTATTATTATTGTATAACACTATATTCTTAAAAATAGAAATTACATAATATAATACATTTAATAATACATTTAAAAAACAATGAATGAAATTAAAAATGAAATTGAGTGAATTTGTTAATTTAGAAAAAAAAAAAAATATATATATATATATATATATATATATAGGGCTGTACAAAGATTAATTGCGATTAATCGCATCCAAAATAAAAGTGTGTGTTTACATAATATACTGTATGTGTGTGTGCTGTGTATAATTATTTTGTATATATAAATACACACACATGCATGTATATATTTAAGAATTATTTGCACGTAAATGCTGTTAATATAATATAATAATATATATATAAATACATAGTCTATATTATATAAATATAAATATTTTTTTGAATAACACATTTTCTTAAATATATACTTGCATGTGTTTGTATTTATTCAATTATACACAGCCCACACACATATATTATGTAAACACAAACTTTTATTTTGGATGCAATTAATCATAATTAATCTTTGCACAACCCTAATATATATATATATATATATATATATTTATTTATATATATTAAATGTATTTATTGGTTTTTTTAAATAGTATGTTCTAATTCTAAAAATAGAAATTACATAATATATAATAATATACATTTAAAAAATAATGAGATATAATATAAAATAAGGTCTAAGGAATTTTTTATTCCAGTATTATTCATGTATTTGTTGTGCTGAAAACACACCTATCCTCTGTTGTAGACACAATGCTTTAAAGCAAGTGTTATTTTAGTATTATTTAAAGTTTTTATTTTATATATTGAATTAGCTTTCATTTTTATATTTTCTGTTGTCATTTAAATTTGTGTAATTTATAGTAATTTTGTTGTGCTTTACATTTCTAAATAGTTTTAATTTAAGTAAGTTTTATTCATAGTTTTATTTCATTTAATCATTTTTAGTGCTTCAACAGTTTTAGTTTCCAAGGCAACATTTCTAATTTTCCTTTAGTTTTTACATATTTATATTTTACTTTATTTCAGCTTTATTTTTAGTTTTAATTTTAGTTAACAACAGCATCACTGATTGCATAAACAGTCATGTTGTTTATCGCCCGCATTACATGATGGTTATGATATTTTGAGTGGCGTTATTGTTGTTAGCGTGTTCGCTAGTGCTCTGTCTGTCCATCCGCTGACCATCTGAGTGATATTACAGTCTGGCCAGCTCTAATCTGATTGGCTGACTGTGGAAGTTCCTGAAATAAAAGCATTATTAGTCCAGCAGGAAATGAAGTCGTGTGAACAAGATCTTGCGAGTGCAAATCTCTGAAACATTTAGACGCTTTAAACCAGAAGAAGAGCAGCACTGACAAATAATGACACACACAGAAACAGGGTTATTCTTTCAAGTGTTTTCACTGACAGATATAATTATAGGGCTTTTTTCGAGGCGTTTAAAGGCAAGTTTGTCTCATAAGAACACACTGAACACGGTGTGTGTGTGTATGTATGTGAGTGTTTTGCCCTCTTTCGTTCTGACCGGCGGCTGCAGTTTCATCTTCTCCACAGAATCGAGAGTTAAACACACAATAACGAGCGGACGACAAGCCCAAACATGAACACACACACACTGTCTATCTCTCTCTCACACACACACACACACTCTCTATCTCTCTCATATACACACACAAAAACACACATACTCAAAAACGCTTCACTGTGTGGCTTTATTGTTGTAGTGTGTGTGTGTGTGTGTGAGAAAGTAAATGCATTCATATGTTTTTTTATTTATCCAGAGCTGTGACGCTACGTTCCGGAGTATGTTTGTTCATTAAAGTAAATTAAAATATACATCTTTATTAAAAAATCTCATTTATGTCAAGGGTTCTTCTACACCATCATTTCCCTCTGGTTTCTGGGATAAGTTTTTGGACAGGAATGTTGATCCAGGAACATGTCTTATTTTGCATAATCACGGTGACCGTGTGGCTTTATCTGTAAACAGTGAGTGTGGTATGTGCTTGTATTGAGATCTGCTGTGGTTCCAGACTGCTCGTCTGATGTGGCTCTGGCGGTGATGACATCACGTTGCCAGGGGAAACGCTCCTGTGTGGTCCGCGCCTCTACACAAGAGTTTGGAGACCCCTGTTACCGTGGCACCCGCAAATACCTCAGCGTGATACACACCTGTGGTGAGTTACACACTCGACACACACACAGTGCATCGTCACACACCTGTTTTCCCATTATTAACTAGATTACATTGATAAATGGCTCACTCTGTGTTATTCGTAGCAAACCGTGTCTGTGCTGTCGTGATTAAAAAGTTATTAGTGATGAAGACATTTCGGATAATTTAATTAACGATTGTGCATTAGAACAAAACTTGCAATAATGCTTGTCATGTTGCTTTTATTAATGATTTTTATTTAATTTTTTTTGGGCTAAAATAATAGAAAACAATGAAGGTATTGTTTACTTGTATCTTAAAAATAAATACTTTTTTTAAATAAGTAATTTAAAATAATTTTTTTAATACTTAAATAATTATTTTTAACTAGAAAAAAAATATTTAAGATTATAACATAAATCTTGTTATATAAAGATTATATTCTTGTTATATAAAGATTATAACATAAAACTTTGTGTGTGTTGCTTTTAATTATTTATTTTATGGCTAAATAACAGAAAACACTGAAAGTATTGTTGATTATAAATATTAATTGTTTTAAATGTAATATAAATTCTATAATATATTTGATATAAATAGTAATTAAAATAAATCGTATTATTAATAGTATTTAATAATTAATTAATAAATAATTAATTTAATAACTAATTAATAAATAGTATTTATTTATTTTTTAGTAAAAATGTTTTTTTTTTTTTTTTTTTTTTCAGTTTTTATTCAATATTCAGTTGTCTGGTGTCATATTGTCTTAATCTGTCTTCTTTCAAATTTCCAGCAAATTATACAAGGAAGGAACAATAATTTTTTATAGTCTACCCATTATTATTAAAATGTCATTCATTCCCATTCTGATTTAAAATCCATTGAAACATATAAAGGAATAGTAAAATGTTGTTGAATATCATTGTAAATTTATTTCATATCACATTTTCTCAGCTGGTTTATATATTGTAGTAACATATATATATATATATATATATATATATATATATATATATATATTTAGCCTGTTCATTGGTACTTGAATATGATTTAATATCATTACAGTAAAGTACAATCAGTTTCTCTTGTGCAGATAAGATATTGTGTTTGAACACTAGAGGGCAGTAATCACTCACTGTGTGTGTGTGACTGGAGATCATGTCTGGAGCACAAATATTGTAGGACAAGTTACATGTCGAATGTATGTCTTAGAGTTAGCGCTTTGAACAGTGTTAGTACTGTCCGTTGTCTTGTGTTTGTTGCTGTAGTATTGTGTGTGATGATAGTTCTGCAGGATTTCAGGATTTCTTTATGACTGTAATCCGGTTCCTGTCAGTCCAAAACAAACATCCAGACCAGACATCAGAACGATGGATCTGTCTGTCCAAATACTTGTCACAGACTTTGAAGAGTCGTGTTTCTGTACTTTCAACAAATTGTTATTATTGCAATCATAGTTATCGTGTTTGGGAAGCGTGTGGTTTGGTTGTGAAAATAGACAGAGGAAAGTGTGTTTGTTTAAGAGCCGATATCAGCTGTGAGGTTTTCTGGGACAGTGTGTGTTGCTCTGCTATGATTCAAGATGTAAAACCAAACTCTTATGTTTGTGTGTGATGATCTAATGATGTGCATCAAACAATAAGATACAAACAAGTTTCTCAGCGTGTGTGTGTGTGTGTGTCAGATCAGATGAATGCAGTTTTGTGGGTAGTTAAATGTAAGTCAGACTGACCAAAACTTTCCTTGTTCTCAAACAATCTATTTCCTCTCCCCAGAAATCCATCTAATAATTAGGGTGACGGTGGTTTTTATCAAAATATTAATTTTCCATATTTTATCATTATTATTCTTACCTATTCTTATCCTACAAATTATATTTAAAGTTAGTTTTTTTATACAATTATAGCAAAAGCTAAATATGTATTTATTTATTCATAAATATTATTTATATTATAATATAGACACATTTATTTGTTAAATTATTACAAAATATTTTATAATATTTAAATTAAATAAATATAAAATATTTTTATTTTTTTTTAGTATCATGTTTATTTATTAAAATATGATTTATATATTTTAAATACAAAAATATGTAATTATTTTATAATGTTTAATATGTACGGTTTATGGTCACACTTCCAATTCTCACTAGAATTAACTTTTAACCACAACTTTTTCCTGGATAAACTCCTAATTCCTGCTTATTAATAGTTGGTAAGGTAGTTGTTATGTTTAGGTATTAAGTAGAATAAGAGATATAAATTTCTCAAAAAAAAGAGGCATAAATATGTGCTTTATAAGTACTAATAAACAGCCAGTATCCCGGTGAGAATTAGACAGAGAATTGAACTAGTGTAAGACTTGTAGGGTAATCTGACTCTGATTAGCATTTATTTATTTTTTTCAGAAATGATTTTGATGAAATGTAGATGGATTTGAGGTTATGAGGTTCATATTCACGGCTCCATCAGTGTGACTGATAAATAACCGTGACTAATGCTTTCAAAACCACTGACAACATTCAGCTCTGGAGAAATGGACAGAAATGAGTGTGATCATGTGACCCAGCGAGAGAGAGTGTGTTTTGGTTTTCTATCACAGCATACCATTGCCCTTAAAAGGCAGTGAATTTGATTGGCTGAATGACCCGACATGCGATGCCAGCGCTGTTTGCACATGCTCAGTTCAGTTTCTGTGTGATAGTTTGAAGCTACTCGACACTTGGCGGGACTGAAGTGATTTATTCACTGTTTTAAAGAGAGTTGGGCATGCAGTGTGAGCGCAGCATGTTCACACATGTGAAGGGCCGATCGTTCCGTGGGTCAGTAGGGGTGTGGTTGAGGTCAGAGGTCAACTACATAGCAGCAGATCAGCCAATAGGAGGCCGGCACTGACCGTGTCAAACACCACACAGGAGGATTGTGGGAATGTTTCTCTCTCTCTCATCTGGTGGTCTTTGGCCTGCTGGTGTTTTTCTTGGCTCTGAATTTTTCATGATGTCATCGATTCGCTTCAACACCGGCCGCGAAGAAAGTTTGGGGAATTCATCGGTTGCTTTTCGTTTGTTTTGCCAATATTAATGTTTCTAGTGTTCGTATTATAAACTGACTGAAATTTAAGTTGCTAATCACTGACCATCTTCGTGTCAGAGCTTTTAAACACAGGATTCATGAATGAACTGAATCACTAAAACGATTCAACTCAAAAGAATCACTTCTCAAATGTTTAGTATTATTTACACACTGTTATTGTCTGTTTACTGTCTTTCTTTTCATTATTCGAGTGTGTGGGCTGCTTTTTGTGTTTTTGTCTATTTGGAGATTTATTTAAATAAATACAAAATTTAATTTAGCTTCAGTGTTAATTAAGAATAACAACACTGTTTTCTCATGAAGTCTCCAAAGAGAGTTAGAGCCGATGTTAAGATTTCCAAAACCTAAATTTCAGTCTGTTTCTCACACAAAACTATCAAATGATGTGAAATATAGTGCATGAATTGTATTGACAACTGATAGTTTTTAAAATTTCAGTCACAATTAATCAAATGTCCTCATGTTTTGTCCAAATGGTGAAAAAGAAAGTCATGAGGAAGAGTGAATGATGATAGGATGTTCATTTTTATGTGGACTATCCCTTTAACTTGATATTGACTTTAATCCAAAAAGGAAACACAGCCAAAGTAAAGACCGAGAGAGAGAGAGAGAGAGAGAGAGAGAGAGAGAGAGTGTGTGTGTGTGTGTGTGTGTGTGTGTGATAGAGAGGGAGAGAGAGAGGTAACGAGTGGGTGTGTGTGTGAGAGAGAGAGAGAGAGAACGAGTGTGTTTGAGAAAGAGTGTGAGAGAACGAGAGAGAGAGAGAGAGAGAGAGAGATCAAAGTTCCAAAGCCACAATGTCCACTGAATGAATCTCTAATGTCACTTCCTGTTTCTTTTTGTCTGGTTTTGTCTTACACACACACACACACACACACCCACGCACACACGCACACACACACTGACTCAAAGCTACACGCCCCTCCAGAGTAACTCCTGCCCCTCTCTGTCGTCTCGCTGGTAGGCTGAACGTGTGTGTGTGTGTGTGTGTGTCAGTGCGGCTCTCTCAGCGGAGGGAAAAGCCGTGAATCAGGAGAACGGCGCGAGAAAGAAAGAAAGGCAGGAGGTCACATGAGATTGTTGAGGAGATCTCATGTGTGATTAGTCGTGGAGTTTTGGTTTACGCTTCATCCGTCTGTGTGTGTGACGGCGAACACACACGTGTGCACAGGTAGACGCTGACCGGAGTGTGAGGAACAGATTTTCTGCAGCATGTGTTTGTAAGTGTGTTTCTGATTTCATACCCTGTCGTGAGATTTTTGACGTTTGTGAACCGTTGTGTTTCGGTGCCAGACTCATCCCACACATTTCTACCACAGACTTAAATAACGAGTGTGGACTCCTTTATGTAAACAACCACCTAGCAACCATTTAGAATACCCTAGCAACCACATAGCAACACAAACATGTTTACTTGGCTAACTTATGACATAACATAGACTTGTATTGTTTCATAAAGCTAATTATATGATTACAGGATTACCCAAACCCTTACTGGAATCTTAAAATAATATCTTTCTGCAGTTTGTATTGTGTGTAAATATATATATAGACTTCTGTGAAAATGTTTAGGGTCAGTAAAACAACAACAAATAGTGCTTTTATTCAGCAAGGATGCATTAAATTATATTTTTTCAAAACATTTCCATTGCAAATAAATTCCTTGGTGAGTAGAAACTACTTTTAATAGCATTAAAACATTTTCCCAACCTCAAACTTTTGAACAATAGTGTATATTTACAATGTTTATATATAATACAGTATTTTTTTAAAGATTGCTTTTATTTATGAACTTCCACAAAGGAGGGTTTTAGCTCACTTCTAGAAACAATTTTGTTTTCAAGTATAACACACACACACACACTCTCAATCACATACACAGACACATATTCACACACAAAAACCTCTCACTTACACACTCTCT